CTTAGTCCCCAGAAAAGTGGCTATAGGATTGCTGACTGAGAGGCCATTTTGTTGTCCATGAATGCGTCTAATTTTTTCAAATGCAACACAAATTACATCCCATGAGTTCCATTGCCTAAATGTAAATGCCATCTGTTTCAGATAATTCTGTTCGAATAGTAGATTTCCCAAATAAACAGAAAATAGTAGGATGCCCAGTCCAGAGGGACAAATCCATGGGATTTAAGAATGACTCACCTAGGATTGCCAACAACAACAATAATAAAAACAAACAAACCCAGCAACCTTTTACCTTGAACTCCAGATAGTTTGACATAAAAGAGCAGGTGAAGTTTTCACAATCTGGGAGATAAGCATTTGCACCTGCTAATATATGTTCAGCAAGAGGATCCTGGGACTGTAAAAAGAAGAAGGAGATTGTAACCTCAAACGCCCTCTGAATCCAGGCCTCAGCATCCCTCACAATTTAATATTTAGCTGCAACTTAAATTTGCTTTTATTTATTTCAGTTTCATAAATCAATCACTGTAGCATATTTAAATGTCACCCAAAAACAGGATGCAGAGAAAGACTTATTTTAAACTAGTAAAACCTCCTTCACATCCAGAATTGCTATTTTTGTTGCCTTTGGGAAATAAATTATTGCCTTGAGACTGAAAATGCTGCCTTTGTGTTTCACCCATTTTGTTCAGCTGCTTGATTTCACAAGAAAGGGGATGTACTACTTGGTTGCAAGCCAGATCACCAGAGGAGGCAAAAAGCCGAGGTCAGTGCTTCCAGGCTCAGGTACTAATTAGAAGGAACATAGGAAGCTGCCTGCAGTCTATAGAGTCAGACTATTGATTGACCCAATTGAGTATTATCTACATTGATTAGCAGTGACTCTCCCGGGTTTCACCACAATTATCAAGTAAATCAGGCAATAAAAACAAGCAGTAGACGGTTTTATGAAGCTGGCAGCCTACAAGGGTCATTCAAAGGTAAATGTTCTAAGATGAAGTCTGCATCTTGCTAATTTCAAAATAAAGGAGTGACTATTCTCACAATATAGCCAGCTATATACACAGTCAGAGACCATCTGACCCAGGAGTCTCATTCTGAGGGCAAGTCACTCCTTCTTCTTCTGAACTCCTTTTGTAGCTGGAGATACCAGGCCTTAAGGGGACACATGTGGCACTGTGGGTTAAACCACAGAGCCTAGGACTTGCCGATCAGAAGGTCGGCAGTTCGAATCCCCGCGACAGGATGAGCTCTCGTTGCTTGGGCGCAGCTCCTGCACACCTAGCAGTTCGAAAGCACATCAAAGTGCAAGTAGATAAATAGGTACCGCTCCGGCGGGAAGGTAAACGGCGTTTCCGTGCGCTGCTCTGGTTTGCCAGAAGTGGCTTAGTCATGCTGGCCACATGACCCGGAAGCTGTCTGCAGACAAATGTCTGCTTCCTTGGCCAATAGAGCAAGATGAGCACCGCAACCCCAGAGTCGTCCGTGACTGGACCTAACGGTCAGGGGTCCCTTTACCTTTAACTTACCAGACCTTAAACCTGGGGCTTCCAACATGCAAATCAGGTGCAGTTCCACCACAGCCGCCCAAAACTAAATGTACATATCAGCTGCTGGAATCACTTTTCTAAGTCTCCAGGGAAAATAACCTAAATAGGTTGGGGATGTTGAACTAAGGTTGCTACTCATACACCCATTTTTAGCATCTGTGTGAAAGAAAGACATTTAACAGGTGGGGGAGAAGCAGCAATGGAAGGACTTCACTTACTGAATTTCTGCCTGTTGTCATTGCTTTCTAAACTGCCCCCGTTTCTCTCTAAACTGCTTCCTGGGGCAAGGGCAGGCTAAAAATGTTTTTAAAAATAAATATGAAAATTTCTACCAGGAGGGAAAGGTTAGTTACCTCAGGTTGCATGCACTTGTTTTGCTGCATTAAAAAACAACAACAAATAAATCGTTTTAATTGAACTTTGTCAGCAGAAATAGAAACTTAGTGACAAACACACAAACCTTGGCTTATAGAGTCCACGTTTTAAGCACAGTACATTGATGACAAAGATGAAGATGCGATATTGAAAAAGAAGAAAAACCACCTGCCATCACCTTTCTTCTTATCAAGAGGCTCAGTGCTGAGCAGGCTAGGTGGCATAAAATGTGTTTATAACATGCAATAACAATTCAAATCTTAATGGTAAATCTTGATAAGAATGTTCTTTATGACAGGCCAAGAAGATTAGTCTGTGAGAGCGGGGAAAACAAAGCAGTTATTTTTGCCTGTTTTGCTTGCTAGACATTGAGTAAAGTAAATAAACTCTTTTATAGAGATAGAACCCTGTTTCTCCAACTCCTGGCACACTTTGGATCTCAAATACAGTGGTACCTTGGATTAATTACTTAATTCGTTCCGGAGGTCTGTACTTAACCTGAAACTGTTCTTAACCTGAAGCACCACTTTAGCTAATGGGGCCTCCTGCTGCTGCCGCGCTGCCAGAGCACGATTTCTGTTCTCATCCTGAAGCAAAGTTCTTAACCTGAAGCATATTTAACCTGAAGCGTATGTAACCCGAGGTACTACTGTACAGTTAGAGGCATGTTTCACTCTTACATTGCAGGAGGTTTGGCTTTTTTAAAGCACCAAACTAGTTCTGAGGACAGCAGCAGTTTCAATGCGTTTTAAACAATGTGTTGAACCAATGGTGAATACCCCACAAGCAAATCAGAATGGATGTTTATTGTTGTATAACCACCTCACAAATCACTCAGAACAAATGCTTAGTAAAGACTGGGCATAGTCTAACCTGCATGTAAGCTTTATGCAATCAAACTACGGCAAGGTTTACCAGCCATGGGCCGGATCACTCCCATGGCGATCGTCCATGGACCGGACTAGGCCAGTGCGACGCCGGAAATTGCTTCTGCGCATGCCCAGTTTAGCGCAGCGCGTGGGGGACTCGCTGAGTGGGCAGCTTGGTTCAAGGGCGGCTCGTGGGCCGATAATACGGTCTTTGTGGGCCACATCTGGCCCATGTTGCTGACCCCTGAACTACGTCATCTACGGGAGCCTGTTATCATTACCGAGTGAGGGTCACCAAACGTTAATGGTCCCTGCCCTTGTGTCTTTAACAGCATCCTTACATGCAGAAACTTCAACTGCCAAAGTTGAATTTTCATGCTTAAAATTCTAGATGGCTTAAACTTCTCAAATTTGGTAAACGAAAATGGTTTCAATTGTTACAAGCATTGATCATCTGTTTGGATGAATGCTCAGGTTCACCCTCTTCAGCATACGGCGAAAGGTATACAGGGGTGTCCAAACTTTTCAAAGAGGGCCAGATTTGATAACGTGAACATGCATGAGGGCCGACCAAAGTTGTTTAGCTTTTTTTTTTAAAGGGTTTTACCTCAAAGTTGTTGAAAAAATTTTAAGGATTTCCCCCCAGAAAATAAACTGCTGCAGGGGCCACATTAAACCAACTGGCGTGCCGGATTAGGCCCCCCGGCCTGACTTTGGACATGCCTGGTATTTAATGAAAGTGCCCGATGTACTTCTGTGGGAAGGAAATTCCACAGCTCCAGAGTTTGGGCCACCCCCCCAAAAAATAAACCACGTCTGAGGATAGTGGAGCTACCAAGAGAGCCCCCTGTGCTGATCATAGAGGCTGTAGGGTACAGGAACCATGCCTTCTTTTGCATGAGACCATTTTAGCTCCCACAGTGCCTTGCCTTGAGCTAAGGCTGGCTGCAAAACCACCCTGCCCACTAATATCACTGCAGCATCAGGAACAGGAGCAGATGAAGACGCCTGCTGAATACTTTTGCAAGGGGAAAAAATCAGTTTTGGGGAAGAGTGGAGCAATTCATCTGAGCATAATACCCGTGTTTGGCTTCCTGCTTGAGAAAGATGTGCCAATGGGCCTTTACCCTTTAATCTGGATCCAGTCCACATATTTTGGGCTTGCTTTATCTTTCAAACATGCCGTTACTCACGGAGCTGTCCACACTTGTAAATAATCACCCAATCTTTTGGCTTCGAGGCTTTCCTCTGAGGTATCTTCTCGAACTGAGCACTGTATTGCAAACGTTTCTGAATTTTTCTGATCTCCACTCCTAGCCAGGCTGCACCTCAGATTCTTGTAGCATAAAAACCAATTTCTGGTTAGCATTATTAAGTGCAATAACTGCCTAGTGCCAACTTTTGAGCCCTCTGGGGTGTCACTGTATGGCCTGGGCAGCTGGGGGGAGTTACGCTGGTGGTACTAAGCTATATAAGAACATTAAAAAGAGCTCTGCTGGATAAGACCCAAAGCCAGCATCCTGTTCTCACAGTGGCCATCTGGATGCCCATGGGAAATTTGGAAGCAGAGCCTGAGTGTGTGCAATCCTCTGTTGTCATCCATTACTTAAGGATGAGACCTAATGTGTTTAGGAAACAATACATTGGTAACTCGGGTTACATACACTTCAGGTTACAGATGCTTCAGGTTACAGGCTCCGCTAACACAGAAATAGTACCTTGGGTTAAGAACTTGGCTTCAGGATGAGAACAGAAACCGCATGGCGACAGCAGGAGGCCCCATTAGCTAAAGTGGTACCTCAGGTTAAGAACAGTTTCCGGTTAAGAACGGACCTCCAGAACGAACTAAGTTCTTAACCCCAGGTACCACTATAATTGTTTGCCTTTGTGTTGGCTAAAGTTCCCCCTGATGGCTAAGTAAGGGCACTGCAAAAAATAGCATTGGATGCACAAAGGTCCTCTTCCATTTGATCACAGCAACTGTTTTAAAAAGTTTTCTACATTTTCGAAATATGAAGCTGTTTTCTGGACCTCCTGTTTTAACTTGAATTGTTTTATCCTATATCCAAAGAGATGATCTTTGTTTTCCAGAGAGAGAGAGAGAGAGAGAGAGAGAGAGAGAGAGAGAGAGAGAGAGAAAAGACCAGACCATATCAAGAAGATAAAATATCCTCATGCTCTGTAAAACTAATTAGGTTTCTTTGAAGTTACCTTGAAAGGGCTTTGTTCTGGCAAGGTGATAATAACATTCTGGAAATGCCTCCTTAGAAGCCAGCAAATAAAAGGAAGGCGGATGAAGAAAAGACTCAAACCTTGCAAGGCCTTTGGGGGGCTTTGGGGGACATATGGACGATAGGACACCAAGCAGTGGTAAGTCCAGGGGCTTCATTGGGGTGGCCCCCCCAGAAGCCTGACTAACTGTAGGGTGAGAGCACCCACATTTGTTATGTGCAGAAGTTATGCCTCCTTTCCATGGATTCAATAGTGTGCTAGGAATCTTAATATTTATGCTTGGAGGGGAAATTGGGGTGGGATCTGCTGGCTTCATCTCTGACCTCTGTGCATTGATCCTTACTTCAAGGGACTAAACACTCTCAACCAACCATTTGTACTCTCATTTTTTGCAGGGTACAGTTTGGTTGGGACTTCTGCAAAGAAAGCTGCACATGTGTACATTTCAGCTCCCATAGGCTCCTAAGTGTGGGCAGTCCGTGCGCTGCAAAAACGGAAAATACAGGTGTCAATGCATGTGGAGGTGCCCCTGGGTCTGCTTCTCTGCAGAAGTTATGATCACTGTGTGCCACAAAATTGTATACACACTGGTGTACACCTCTCCACACGTGGGCCAGTTGGACAGGGGCAGAGGTGGAAATAATTGGGTGGATCTGTTCTGTGTGTTGGGGAAAGCTGTACCTTTTGAACTTCTGCCTGTGCGGTTCTTTAAAGGCTGCATTTTATTGTAACCTCCCTTCCCCACCAGCCTGATCTGTATTTTGTCCGCATTGCATATAATACCGATCCAGCCCAGATTACTCAGTTCATGGTCCTTTTATTTGTTCTTTTGGTATAGATTATATCGCTTCTTGGTTGAGGACATGCATTTGTATTTTTCTGCCCCTGATCTTTCACCTTCAGCCTCTCACAGCCTTCCTGCATGTCTGCTGTTTGTTTCCTTTGGGTAAGGTCACCAAAGTGGCCAGAGCGAGGATGACTTTAATAGTTGTGCAGAAGTGGGGTGTGGACACCTCATTATCTGTGCACTATCTCAGTCTTTATTTAGCTAAAGTTTCTCATTCTGCCTTCTGTTCCTGCTTTCTCTGTATCCTGGTATTTCTGTTTCTTCCTCCTCTCCTGCTGGAATTGTGGGTGCACTTAAAAAAATATATTATTCTCTTTCTTTTCTTAGCTTGTGCATAGCTTCTGTGTGTGCAATCTGTATCCTGCCTATATGGAAGGTATAACATCTCTTGGGTGCTGCTTATTAAATTGCAAGTTTCAAGACAAGGTCACTAAAAATATAAAATAAAATAAAATTCAGTACCCTAATTTCCATATGTGCTTAATTAATTATTCCTACTAGTGCTGCTAACTTTTTAAACTGCTCCTGTGCTTTCAACAGTGGTTTGATCTGCACACACTGGCGGGTGAATAATGCTTCTCTGTGCTGTGTTCAGCTGCTGATTTCTGGAGCTGACATTCCTCTCTAAAGGCACAAGAGTAGGAGGCCTAACTGGGTTTTTTTTTGTTGGGTCACATGGCAACCTTAATTCCCACTAATAAATCAGGCTTCTAGGAGAATAAATAGGTTGACTGGCTGCCATTTACTGCCTGTTCTTTGGGAAACCCGTCTGCAATGAACGTTATATAAAGATTATCATATCTCTCAAGCAAATAGGAACCCTTTCTGATAGTGGCTAATGGACACATAGCCCTCCTGTTGCCTTTGCCCCAACAGCTGATTTTGCTTCCTCAGCTTACCTGCTAATCTCTTCTTTTTCAACTGAAAGCAGGTGATGACAGGGACGCCACTGATAAAGGGCTGGATATTTGGGCAACTTCGTAAGGGTGATGCAATGAAATCTATTCCATCAAAATCAGATGGCCTTGCACTTCAAAGAGTGATGTGTGCGGATCTCTGAATCCACTCTCCTTAACGCAATCTGACCTAGCAAATTACACAGGAGAGAACAGATAAGAGAACTGTTACAGGGAGTGAAACCAGGACCACAAATGGATATGGGAAGGTTACAGGGAGAGAAAAGCAGGGGCACAAGCAGTTCAGGAAGGCTGCGTACACAACCATACATTTAAAGCAGCAGGCAGGGATCTCGCCATATTTCCTTTCTCTAATCGGATCCCTTCTTCCTCTCTGGAGGGTGGAGCTGGGAGGCAGAAGGAGAGTCAGGCTGCTCATCTTTTCTCTGATCCCCTGCTGAGGATAAGGCATATCACTTGCCAGCTGCTAACAAACTTTTTCCCAGAGTGCTCTTAGGCAAAAAGCCTACTGATTGAGGATCAGTTTCTGTCCTTAGGCTGTGTGAGCACATTACTGGCTTAAAATTATTTTTTGCGGTTCTAGTTTGGGAGAGAAATGCATCGAAATGAAGCATTTCATAAGAAACAGTAGGGTAGACATGTATGGATGGTGGCTCATGTTTTTTGTACACAGCAATGAGAGCACACTGGAGGGCATACACCTGCATGTGGATCTTTCGATGACATATATTGTTTTTTACTTGCTTATTTCCAGCTATGCATAATGTTGAAGTTTTAAATCATCTACATAAAACGCCAATTTTATCTGAAAGGGGGTTGCTGATAATTTATTCACAGCACTGTAGCAATTATTAATCCGTGTATGTGTTCAATCCTCAGCACTCTGTGGAGGCTTTTCCAACCCAAGTGATGCTCCCTGGACTTGTGCCAATTGTGGTCATATCCCTATTCAGCACTCATGCCAATCTGGCCCATGCAGGTAACCTATACTGTGCACTTTCAGCTCTAATCAGTTATAGTTTTCAGTATAAAGCTGTCAGAAGCAAAATTACAAAACTGGCAAATAAAAACCTTTCTGTTAAGTTGTGGGTGAACATATCAGACGGCACAGTGATTCTTCAAACAGCTCTTGTTTATTCACAGGCCAGAACAGAACTGAACTGAAAGGTTCAGCCAGCCTGCTTATATAGAGCTCCACTAGAACGCAACAGTAACCATTTTCTGTAACTATCCAATCACTGAATGTCACTTTCGATCCCTTTTTTGCATATGTGGACCTGAACTATCTACAGTATCCCCCTGCTGGCCCAGGGTGAGAACTTCAGTACATAACATTTTCCATTTTTTAAGACCAGTCCCAAATACTAGAAATCAGGAATTGGCGCCAGTCAAATACTCCCAGAGCTCAAAAGGTCAAATGCAGATGATTAAAATCCATTGGGATTGAGAGGCTCAAGTAATTGTTAAAAGCTCAGTGGAAGTTATTTTCAGTAGTCATCTGAAAATGGTGAGAGAAGAAGCAGTCTGCAAACTCACCAGTCGCACTTCAGTTTGGGATGGGATACAAAGCAGAGGCTCATGAGATGATCTCTTAAACTGGGCAGAGGCATATGGAAGAAAGCAGCTCTTCAGGTATCCTGACCCCTGGCCATTAAGGGCTTTAAACGTAATCATAAGCACCTTGATTTGGGCCTAGAAACAAATAGGTTTGTACTGGGCCATGGAAACCAATGTGGACCCTTGTACTTCTTTTCATTCTGGGACTACTATTTTCCCTCACTCAGAAAACGACAGCAAACATGAAAGGCCATTGGTGAAAGAGGCCCTGGCACGGGCAAGGCAGCTGGTCTCCTTGGCGTATCATCGCTCTAGAAGCAGGTATGAATTTCCAGGTGATGCAGGTGGCAGAGAGCATCTTTCTTTCCCTACTTGTCATGCTCTCTGCTCCTGCCCCCCCCCCCCGCTGTGCCTATACCCCAGGCCTTGTGGGGGTTTCTGGTCTTTTTCATTCAGCCATGCCTCATTCTGTGAAATCCTAGAGGGAAAGCAGTGCTGACCAAGGGATCCCTCAGTGCCAGCGACCTGCTGAGCGTGTTCAAGCACCCCGAGGCAGAGACCAACGCGGCGGTTCATGCGGCTGAGCTGATGGACACAACAGTGGAGCTCATCCGGCAGCTTGTGTACAAGCGGGAGAAGCGTTATGCCAACATGTCAGGTGTGTCTTGCATCCACCACCCAGCCCGCAAAGTACCAGTCTTCACCTCCTGACCTTCTTGAGAATCTTCTTTCTCCCTTTTCTTCTGCAAGGAGTCTTAAGTGGCCATGATCTCTCCACCTTGGCAGAAGTAACTGGCTGTGCTGCTCAGCTGCGGCCCATCAAGTGCTCAGACACCTGTTTGACTGAAAAGTACAGGTCCATAGATGGGACGTGCAACAACAGGTAATTCTGCTGGCCCAGTCCTTAGGCCTGCAATCTGCAAAAGCACTGGCCATATTATTAAATGCAAAATTGCACTTTTCAAAATACCCTTTGACCCGCTACTAATTTCAAGTAACTCCTGAAGACCTTTTTAAGCCAGGAGGCCTCTTCAGTTGCTTCATTTTTTTCAGGACAAGCCTGTCTTTTTTATGATCCTTTTGTGTTGTTTTTATGACATTTTATGTTTTATTGTACTTGTAAATGGTGCTGTATTTTGTTGCTGATGATTTATATGACAGGGCAGTCTATATTTTTTTTTAATAAATAACATAAACTGTGAAGAAAGTCAGCTATATTTAGCTGCGCCTTTTTGCAACAGGTCTTGCAGGTAGTGGGGGAAATCATAAGAGATGATTTCACACTCCCCACTTTCTGCTAATAGTAGGATGTTCCCTCGGGGCATTTTTACAGAGTCACTTTTTTTTTGAAAACAGAATACTGGGGATTCCTGATTTTTATTTTTGTAATTCTTGTTTGTATGCAAATACAGAGAGAGTGGTTCCAGACAACATTTGTTCATTCTGACGTGCTTGCATGAAGTTTGCTGGGAAGTTAAACAACCCTGTGCAAATACTGCTGTAAGACATGGGATACAGCAGTTGAACACAAAATCCACAGAAGACCTCCAAAGGAATCATTTTGTTTTTGATCCATAGGCCCCACATCTAGCATACACAGAGCAAACTGAGCAACTGGTAGCCAGGTTGAAATCAGCTAAATACTGCCATATGCTATAAAACAATCAAGAAAGGTAGAGGAGGAAGAATGGGGAAAGGCAGAGAAAACAATGATATCTCCAGCAGAACCCTTAACATATCTATTTTTGTTTCATAACAATTTAAAACACCAACTGTGGGGAATTGTCCCTTTGCCAAATGGAAGCAAAAAATATCTGTATATTTTACCATCTTTATTTAACTACCCAACCTCAGCCCAGCCCTTCCTTTTAAAGTTGTCCTTTAACAATTTAACAATTTCAACCCTCCATAAAATTTCATCTTTATTTTGAACATGGCTAGTAATCTTTTATATATATTTAGTCACGTACTCGTGAGGAATCATAACTCCATAAACATCATAACATAACATAAACATCAATCATACCTCCATAAAACTAAATAGCAGTATATTGAAATAAAGGTTATATACAGTGCTAAACCAATACTGAATTTTTTTTTAAAATAATAAACGAAGATTTAAAACCACACAAAAATTATCTGCTCACAAACCTCTGCCCAACACACAGTACAAACAACCCCCATGGGTGTCTTAGGCTACGAATCAATACACCACAGAAAGCTGCCTGTTTGCTGTTGTTTAGGAAATCCTCTGTATCAAATAAAGCGTCCCCTGTGCTTCTTTAGTTTGCACAGACGAGGTAGTAAAATGCTTCCACTTGGTAAATCCTCTGGTGAGTAAGGGATATCTTGGTTGAAGTTTTCCCACTGAAACAAAAACTTGCAGATACAGAATGGGCATACCCAGGGAAAGGCTGACATCTTTTTCTGCTTAACATCTATTGCTTTCGATGAGCCAGTGTCTTGGATATGGAAGACCATACAGTCCTCTGATTCCCTCACCTGCACTCTCAAGTAGTATAATTCAGGAGCCGTTTCCCCTCTCCACCTTCTACTTATGTGAGCCCAATGCCACCTGCCCATTTCCTGCAGTTTATGAGATTTCATTCTCCCTTGCAGGAAGAACCCACTTTGGGGAGCAGCAAACACAGCCTACGCCCGCTGGTTGCCCGCAGACTATGAAGATGGCTTCTCTGCACCCAAAGGATGGAATCAATCCAAGACCTATAACGGCTTCTCATTGCCTTTGGTAAGACTTGGAATCTCTTATGAATGGAGATGGCAGAGTTCACACAGGGTTTATAAGACAACTCCAAAGCTTTCCTTCTTAGCTTGCTTTAAAATAAATGTTAAGATGTTAAAAAAAGCACCCTTTGATTTGCATGACATGTCAACATTACTGGGTCTTTACACAGAAATGTTGGAAAGTGTATCTGTGAAGGCATGAAAGAGTGAGGAGCACGTGACATTTTCATAGTTTCCAATTGACAAGTTAGACGCTCCATGGCAACTGCAAATTCCATGTCTCGTAATACTGTCAAAAAATACGCACTCGAAATGTAACTTTTTAGAATTTCCACGAAAAGCATGACTAGTTTGGACTGCGTTTCCACAGAAAGTAGAAAAATATACTGCGTTATTCACAAAGACCAACAGTGTTCATATTTGAAATGAATTGTTCTCCCAGGTGCGCCAGGTGTCCCATGAAATCCTGCATACACGGAATGAGAACATCTCCCTGGACAGCTCCTACACCCACATGCTGGTGGAGTGGGGCCAGTGGATTGATCACGACATGGATCTCACCCCCCAGAGTGCCAGCACCGTTTCTTTCATGGACGGAACAGACTGCTCCCACGGTTGCATCAACCGGAATCCGTGCTTCCCCATCCAGGTAAAGACAGCGATGAACAACAAAAAACTTAGGAAGAAGAAAACTCACCGTAGTCCTCCTAACAGTAAGGACTGTCACCTTTACCTTTTACCAAAATGTGAAGTAGAGCCGGTTTATATATGTCACAACCCCTATGAGAGTGTTTCAGAAGTACATGGATTCACAAATACTTTCCCCCACTGTCATATCCAGACAGGTCCACAGGGCTTGCTTATAGAGCTTTTTAAAATACAAAACCAGAAGTGAAATCTATACAACATAATTCATTCCATGAGGTGACTTTACAGTCATGTTGAGCATGAAAGCAAAAAAAAATGAGGCCTACCATTTTGAAATTAATCCATTGCTAGGTCCTTTTTTTAAAAAGCTCAGAGTACACACCAGTTAAGATCATTTATATATGCTAATATATATGCAGAGATGCCAATTTCAGCTTGCTGTCTCTCAGCTAGAAGGCAAGTTTAGGAAATAAATAATGAAGGAATAGTTTTTAAAGGCTGGGAAGGGGAAGTAGATTTTGGAGGCTCAGATTCTCCTGGGTCACTCTGTAGCTATGTCCCTGTCTCGGGGTGCAGTGTGGCATGGGGAGAACCACCTCTGTCTTTAGACTCTGGTTCTGTGTGGGAAGCTGTGGAAACTCAGTAAAGAATGTGAGCTCTCCATTCTTCCTGGCCGCCTGTCAATCAGACCCAGGGCTTCTTGACCACTCTGCTTCTCCTGTGCCAGATCCCTGCTGGTGACCTCCGTCTGGGTGGGGGGACAATGAAGTGCATGCCTTTCATCCGCTCTTCGCCAGCTTGTGGCAGTGGACAATCCAGCTTCCTTCAGGGGCAGCTGCAGCCCCGGGAGCAGCTGAACAGCCTCACCTCCTTTGTGGACGGCAGCATGATCTATGGCAGCACGGCTTCGCTGGCCAGGAAGCTCCGCAACTTCACCCAGGCACTGGGGCTTCTGGCCGTCAACCAGGAGTTCTCCGACGGTGGCCTTCCGCTCCTGCCCTTTGCTGAGAAGAAATCCCCAAACCCTTGTGCCTTGACGCGGGACTCCTGCCTTGCCAATGCGTCTGACGTGCCCTGCTTTGTGGCAGGTAAGAGGAAGGCTTCTCAGTTATGGAGAATATACCTGGGATGGGGGACCTGTGGCCCTACAGGCATGGACGGACTCCAACTCCTAGCATAATTGTCTGTTGGCCATGCTGACTGGGGACTCATGGGAGCTGGAGTCCAACAACATCTGGAATGCCACAGGCTCCCATCTCTGCTGAACAGTGTGGCCCGATGAAAAGGAAGAGAGGACTTTCGTTTCTTTAACGGAGGTGATTTTTTTATCACAGGCAGCCCCTGCTCAGCCCTGCAAGACAAGATGCCAAAATGCCCTCTTCTGTGCAGCTGTTAAAGTAATTAGAGCCCCGTTCTCCTTTACAGTGGGTCTCCTAGCTTTGTACAGGAGTCCCTTGAATGTGTGCACAGCCTTTCAGGATTAATGGGATCTGCTTTGTCTGACTTGTGGTTTGACAAGTCCAATAGCACCACCTATAGGCAGTAGGGTTCTCCCCCTCCATAACTGACTTGTGTGCTTGGTCCATATATGGGAGCTTTGTGGGTGAGTTTTCAGAGGGATGCCAGTCATGGTGAAAAGGGACTGGGGAGATGGGTGGCTTCTACCTCAAGGCATCAGGGGGAAATATCTGGAGCCAAAATTCCATCAGTGGGACCTCCACTGATGGAAGTGAATGGTGAAAATACTAAAACAGGGCTGCCGCCACCCAAAACATGTATGTAACATCTCTTTTCCCCCTTTTTTGCAGGCTGCTTAAAGCCTGCCAAAGGCTGTGTAACTTCTATCTCCTTTACTGTGTGCATTGGTCTCTTCCTTGCCAGGAGACTCGCGGTCCAATGAACATTTAGGCATTCAAGTCCTGCACACAGTGTTCCTGAGGGAGAGCAACAGGATCGCTACCACCCTCCACCAGCTCAACCCCCAGTGGAGTGGGGAAATTCTGTATCAGGAGACTCGCAAAGTCATTGGGGCCTACCTCCAGGTGAGGGCCTCAGGCATGTCGTTGCTTAGTTCCTTCAACAGAGGGCTGGATACAGTTCCCATTGAGGGGCAGATTATACATAACATCCACGTTGTATGTACATCTGCCATGGAAAATGGCAGTCGTGTTTGGGGACTAGGAGGGTTGGGCTAGAATGAGGCCCCCTCCCTCCAACTCTATGGTTCTACAATGAAATGCACCACAGTTGCTGTGATGTCAGGACATGACTAAATTTTACTAGATATTATGGGGAAGATGGAGGGGATCTAAACATGCAGCTGGTGTTTTCTACCGCAGCTTTGCATTCTGTGTCACAGTTTGGCTCCGAATACGCTGCTATCACTCACACGCTGCTCCACCTTGCTTGCTTTGCGGAACCTGCTCTTATGTCAGATAAGAGCTGGTAATTCTGAAAACACTCAACAAGCCATGTTAATGCAGGCGGCTATGTTTGCACAAGAGGCGCTCTAATCTTACCAGGCCTCTTGTGAAGAAATGCAAGAACCGCAAAACTAACACCAGGGTCAAAGTGCAGCTGGCAGTGAAATGGAAAAACTCTTTAACTTGCAGGACACTGATCTCCCTCCTGGGACTCAAGCTCCCTTCTAGAGCGTCTGCAAGGGATGGAAAGGGGGGGGAAATCCCATTCAAGTGTTTTCTCTGAGGCATGGTTCAGTTTCACCAGATATGAAAGTCGCTGAGAGGAAACGTTGACATTATTAGAAATTTTGTTCTCATAAGTCCAGATGGTTTTTTACAAATTCATTTTTAAAAGCTCATCAATATTATGCTATCCTAATAGGCAATGAAGCACCTGACACCAGTTTGGCTGACCCAGTGTGTGTTGGGATTCGCAGGATACTGGATAAGTCTGCAGGCTTCAACAGGATGATGCAATACTCTGCTGGGTCAGAGTGACTCAGCAGGAGTGTGATTAGTGTGATTGGCTATCACCTGTTTTAAAAGGAAAGCCTGTTTAACAGTGGGTGTGGTGGTTGTGCTGTAGTGTGGTGGTGCTATGGTGGAGAGTATTCGTTTGTAAGTACTCTGTATGGACTGTTTCTTTTGTAAATGCCTGTATATAGCTCACATTAAAAAAGACTGCACTGGAAAAACCTGGAACTCTTAGTGTCTCGCTGAAAGTGCCGCGTGGAATACGCGACAGGGTTATGGGCCCAGCACGCTTCCGCTGCGCAAGAGTACAGGTGGCAGTTATCTAGCCGTTGGTGCTGGAGGTGAGCTGCAGGGATGGAGCAGTCCAGAACTGGCATGTTGCTGGAGAAGCTGACGGCCACGAACTACAGCACCTGGTCGGTCCGCATGCAACACTTCCTCAAGCGTGAGGGCCTGTGGAAGGTGGTGGAAGATCCACCGCAGCCCCCTGAGGAGGATGAAAAGGATGAGAAAGCTTTGGCTACGATCATCCTTGGAGTGGACGACAGCCAGCTAGTCTACATAGCTGATAAGGTGACGGCAAGTGAGGCGTGGAATGCGCTCAAGGCTGTCCATGTGCGAGAGACAGCTGGCTCACTGATAACACTGACCAGGAGACTGTACCGGTGTCGGAAGAAACCGGGGGACTCCCTGGTGAACCACCTAAAATTCCTAACAGGCTGTTTCCAGGAGCTAGCCTTAAGAGGGAGGCCTGTGGGGGAAGAGGACAAAGTCTTTATAGCCCTGAGTTCCCTTGATGACAGCTATGATATGCTAGTCAACTCCCTCGAGTCGGTAGAGACTGATAAGCTGACTCTGGAATACGTTACCGGGACGGTTGTATGCAGAGGAGGACAGGCGTGCAGAGCGAAAGATGACCTCAGCCCAGCTGTTGGAGCATCCCAGAGGGAACAACAGCCGGGAAGAGCAGAGGTGTCGGGAGCCGGAGAAACAGCCAGGAGGAGCTGCTGCAGACCAACCGGTGGTCAACAAAGTAAAAAGGTGTTTTTGCTGCAAGTCCAGTGGACATCTGCTGCGGGACTGCCCGAGGAACCAACAAAAACAGCAGAAGCACAAGAGGCAGCAGAGGGAGTCTACCGCTTGGGTGTCTGCAGATGGTCAAGAAAATGAAGAGCTGTGGGTTCTGGACAGTGGAGCTTCTCAAACCTTTTGTAAAAGAAAAGGACTGCTAACTGATGCTAGGGCTTCAAACAAAAAACATGTAAGTCTTGCTACGGGCCAGAAAGCTAATGTGGTTTGTGAGGGGGAGGTTGTGTTCCCACAGCTGGGACACACATTCAGGAATGTGTTGTGTGTGCCTAGTTTGCAAAACAATCTCCTGAGCATTCCTGACTTGGCAAAAGCAGGCTTTGAAGTAAACTTTGTGGGAGATCAGTGCCAGATAAAGCAAAATGGGGCAGTGTTGGCAAATGCTAACCTTAGAGCTAATATGTATGTACTGCAGTGTGAGTCTAAGGTTGCGAATGTGCAAAATGTCCCAACCCATGATATGTGTATTCATCTCCTGCACAGGCGTCTGGCTCATGCAAGCTATAAGGTGCTGAACAAAACATTGGAGTTGTGTGGGGGGATGAAAAACATTAAAAGTTGTGATAATTACTTAGACTGCAATATTTGCAAGGAGGTTAAAAGCAGGGCTTGCCCAGTAGCAAGAGCAAGCCAGAGAGAAACCAAAAAACCACTGGAGTTGATTCATGCTGATGTAACTGGTCCTTTTCCACCAAGTGTCTCCCACAACAAGTACTGTTTGATCCTAGTGGATGACTATTCTAGATTTGGCTGGGTCTATCCATTAAAGCAAAAGTCTGACGTTGCCCAAACTTTGAAGTTCTGGGTAAGAAGGGTAGAAAGGCAACTTGGCGAAAAGGTGTGCTCTATTCAGACAGACAGGGGAGGAGAGTTTATGGCAAGCTCCCTAAGAAACTGGTTGCGTTCCTAAGGGATTAAACATAGGCTTACCAATGTGGCGACGCCTCAGGAGAACGGGGTAGCAGAGCGTAGGGGAGGTGTCTTGCAGACACAAATGAAAGCATTGTTAGCAGATGCAAATCTTCCAATTAAGTACTGGGCTGAGAGTATTAAGACCGCAAATTATATTGGGAATCGCTTGTGGTCAAGGGTACTAGATGACATACCCTATAAAATTCTCTATAACAAAAGTCCCAGTTTGCAACATTTGAGAATCTTTGGGACAAAGGCGTGGGTTGACATACCTGTAAAGAACCGAAGAAAAGGTGGGAAAAGGGCACAGCAGTTGCTGTTTCTTGGGTATGAAAGTGGTACGAAAGCCTACAGGTTTGAAGATGATAAAAATCTTTTGAGTTATAGTCGATCAGCCAGCTTTAATGAGCAAAGAAATTGGCCCAAGATACATGCAAACCTGCTGCCAAAAAAAGTTTTACTGCCGAGCATACCTGATAAGGCAGTTGAAACAAAGCTGAGAATTGGCAGCTCTCCCAGAGAAACTGAAAGGGAGGAGGTAAAGGTTGAGCATTTTTCTCCAGCTGCTAGCATAGAGCAGGGGAGAGAAGAAAGTGCAACAGGGACAGGAGGAGGTAAATCTCCAGAATCAATCCACCCCAAAAGCAGTCCTGAAGGTAGCCCAGGGGGTGAGATTAATGAACCAAGGAGGTCTGCAAGAAGTAATAAAGGTCAACCTCCAGACCGTTATGGGTTCCCAGCCACCATAAACCAGGTTTGTGTAACTGAGCCAGAAAACTTTGAAGAAGTGCAAGAGTTACCTACTCTAGAGAAAGAGGCGTGGTTAAAGGCAATGCAGGCAGAGTATAACTCTCTGCTAAACAACAATGTCTTTGTAGAATTGCCTGAAGGTAAAACAGAATTGCCTGAAGGTAAAAAGCCCATAAGTTGTAAGTGGGTTTTTAAAGTGAAAAACTGGCTGATGGTAGTTGTCAGAGGAAAGCCAGGTTGGTTGCAAGGGGCTTTACACAAAGGAAAATGATACATTATGATGAAGTGTTTGCCCCAACAGCAAAGGCTGAAACAGTAAAATCAGTTTTAGCAATGGCAAGTCTGAGAGGGTTAAAAGTTAATCATTTTGATGTTGCCTCAGCATATTTAAATGCTCCTATTGATGCCGAGGTGTATTTACAGCAAATACCAGGTTATGAGCTGGAAAAAGACAGCATGGTGTTAAAGCTGCAAAGGGCGCTATACGGTTTACACCAAAGTGCACGTCTATGGCATGAATGCATAGACACAACTTTGAAAAAGATGGGATTCAAACAAAGCCTGGCTGATTCCTGTTTATACTCAGCAATGGTGCAAGGAAGTGTTTGTTATTTACTTTTGTATGTTGACGATATCTGTCTAATAATAACTGCACAAAAGCAAGTGTCTTGGTTTATAAACAGCCTAGGTAACAAATACAAACTGAAGTATTTGGGAGAGATTCAGAATTACTTAGGAGTAGAGGTTCAGAGAAATGAAAAGGGCGTCTACTCTCTGAGTCAGAAGGAAAAAATTGAAAAGTTACTGAAGACATATGGAATGGAGAGGGCAAATGAGGTTGACACTCCCATAACTACCCAGTACAAAAATGAACCAGAAGGGCAAAAATGTGAGAATGCAACAGTGTTTCATTCTCTGTTGGGTTCTCAGTTATATTTAAGTTGTTGGACAAGACCCGACATAACATTGGCAGTGCACATGTTAAGCCAAAGAAGTGCAGACCCGGCTCAGAGAGATTGGGTAGCACTTAAAAGAATCCTAAGGTATCTGAAAGGCACAAAAGATTACAAACTGGTGCTGGATACAGGATATGATCAGCAAGTGTATGCATACGCTGATGCCAGCTGGGGGGACAGAGAAAATGGAAAGTCTACCACTGGCTATGCCATATATATTGGAAATGCCCTGGTTCAGTGGAAATCCCAGAAACAAACATTTGTTGCCACAAGTACTTGTGAGGCAGAATACTCAGCCATAAGCGAATGTGTATCACAAATAGAATGGTTTGCTTGCCTAACAAAAGAGCTTGGAATACCTTCTGAAATGCCAATCACTGTGCTAAGTGACAACATGGCTGCACGACAGCTTGCCAACCAACAGAACTTTAAAAGCAAGAGTAAACATATTGCTATAAGATACGGAAATGTGAAAAATGCTTTGGAAAGAAATGTGTTAAAGGTACAGCACTGTAACACAAAATGTAATGTGGCAGATTTGTATACAAAATGTTTGGATGCTCCTAAATTTCGAGACTTAAGAGAATTATTAGGTCTCAAGCCTTTGACTTAAGGAGGAGTGTTGGGATTCGCAGGATACTGGATAAGTCTGCAGGCTTCAACAGGATGATGCAATACTCTGCTGGGTCAGAGTGACTCAGCAGGAGAGTGATTAGTGTGATTGGCTATCACCTGTTTTAAAAGGAAAGCCTGTTTAACAGTGGGTGTGGTGGTTGTGCTGTAGTGTGGTGGTGCTATGGTGGAGAGTATTCGTTTGTAAGTACTCTGTATGGACTGTTTCTTTTGTAAATGCCTGTATATAGCTCACATTAAAAAAGACTGCACTGGAAAAACCTGGAACTCTTAGTGTCTCGCTGAAAGTGCCGCGTGGAATACGCGACAGTGTGGTGGCACAGAATATTCAGAGACATTCCAATTCTTTAGGGAACAGAGCTCACAGAATATTTTTGCAGTCTCAGAGGAAAGGGAATGTTGTTTTAGCATGTTTATCCTCACAGCCAACCTGTGAGATGGATGAACATGAAAGCTATTGCCTGGGAATAAGCCACCGGTGAGCTTCATGGCTGAGCCTCTTGCATGCATCCCAACACTTTTATCTATTGCACTGCAGTGGTTGAGGCCCAATGAGCAATTTCTTCCCAACAAATCTGTATCTTCCATGGTACAATTCTCTGACTGAGCTGCCATTTTGACTGCTTCTCTCCACTTTAGCCTGAGCACAAATGAAATAATGATTTTTGTTTGTTGCTCCTGTTGCACATCTCCATGGCTCCCCGCTTGACTGAGATTCCTCCTCTGGCAACCATCCATCCAGTGGGTAGCAGTGGCACTGCTCAGGAAGGGACTCAAAATGGAGGCACACAACCATTTTACCACAGAATGCACTTGTTGTGTGGTAAAATTATCTTTACCACTTGGCAGGATAATGCAGCCAGCCAGTTACCATGTGGTTACATATTTGCTATAGTAAATTAGCCGTTCATAAATGGCCACCCCTAATGGAAGAGCAAGGCTCTTTTCCTCTTACCTTCTCCATGTGGTGTGCTCTCACCTTGTTTTTCAGTGTTCATATCTACTGGACTCAGCCTGGTACAAAGCAGATAGAAATAGCATCCATTGGTTTCACTAGATGCTCAATCAAGCCCACTGAACTCAAGTATATTTCTCCTTTTTATGTTTGTTCACTTGATGTAGATTATAAACTGGAGGGATTATGTCCCAAAGATCCTTGGCCCAGAAGCCACTGAGGCCTACCTTCCTCCATACTCTGGTTACGACGAGTCTGTTGACCCCCGTATCTCCAATGTCTTTGCCACAGCTGCATTTCGCTTTGCCCACGTCACCATCAATCCTTTCCTCTCCCGTCTGGATGAAAACTTTGAGGAGAATCCCAGTCACCCCAGCATATCTCTTCATCAGTCATTCTTCTCCCCATGGAGGATCATCGAGGAAGGTACAGAACTGGCAACACATGAGATGGGAGCGGGTGGAAAGGGCATGTTGTCTTTGGTGACATCATTTATCAAGTTACACAGTGTTAGTCCCATTGAACCCAGAGACCAGCAATGTTTAGGGCAAGGGTGGGAAACCTGTGGCCCTCCAGATGTTTCCCCAACTCTCATCAGCCACAGTCAGCATGGCCAGTGGTCAGGGATGATGGGAGATGAAGTCCAGCAACATCTGGAGGACCAATGGTTCCCCATTCCTCATCTAAGAACTATTGTACTCAGATTGTCCTGAGTAAATCATGTTTTTGAGTGTCTGAATTCCAGAAGTGTGGCTGCCTTATTAATCCGTTGCAGCAAAAACAACTAGAAGTTCCTGCAGTAGGACCTTAATATTTTTATTGTGGCTTGAGCCTATAGCAGACTTCATTGAATGTATGCGATAAAACAGGCCTAGGGAAGCCTGTCACAATGCATTTGGCGGGGGCCTTGAGATCCTCCTGGTGACAGGAATCTTGTAAGGGAGTGACAAGGCTGTCATAGGGTTACCACCTTTATTCACTCTAAAAACAGCCTGAAACAATACATTATTTAAATAAAGTGTCTGTACTTTTTCTTTTTCTTTTTAAGCCTCTGCTGTTGTTGAGGAATTTGAGGGAATGTGAGACTGAGTGGCATCCTTTACATATGGCCAGGAATGGTCCTGTGGAGAGCAGCAAGAGAGAATTGTTTGCAGGGTTACAACATTCAGAGATGCTGGAAGGACATGTGCAACATTTCTGTTAGGCTTAAAAATCCCCAGGGTTTCTGCTTATAGACACTCCACCTCTGAGTTATGTGAATATAGTCAGCCGCAGGGTTCAACCTACAGTGCTTTGTCGTGTCAGTTGAGTGCAGCTTGTTTCTTTGCCTCCCTGGGCCTTGTGGGAGGAGGCCATCTTTCAGCCATCCTGTGGCACCACCCCATATCGCCATTGCTTGTCCTAGAAACTGGGGGAAATGTAACACAGACAAGGGGAAGAGCTTCGGGGTGTAACACATGAAAAGGGCCCTTGCTAAGCTGATCGTCATGAATGCTTTGCACACAAAACACCTGCATGTTGTGTCTGGTGCTGAGAAGGCTGTGCACATGGATTATTAATAACAGTGTTTTCTACTCAATCATCTGCTTCAGAATGCCAAATATTGTGTGAGAAGTTGCCCTAGAGCTTTGCCATAAAGACTGGATGCTGGTTTGTTTTCGCTGGCTTTGAAGTTCTGTCACAAACTTTAGGAGGGATCGATCCTATCCTACGTGGAGAGATCTTCACCCTTGCAAAGCTCCAGACAGCCACTCAGATGATGCCAGAGGAGCTGACAGAGAAGCTGTTTCATCCCAAGAAGGCCCTGTCCCTTGACCTGGCAGCTCTGAACCTGCAAAGAGGCCGGGACCATGGACTGCTAGGTGTGTAGCACTGCTGCAGGGGTAGAGGCAGGAGAGAGAGAGACAAAGAGAAAGAGAGGTCATCAGAAGCAGAGGGCACCTCCCTCTAGAACTAACACTTGATGTTCTCTTCAAATGCCATTTTCTGGTGCTCCCTGCAGGTTACAACTCCTGGAGGAGGTTCTGCGGTCTCCCAGAGGCCCACACTTTCTCTGACTTGCAGCATATCCTCAACAGCAGCTACCTGGCTCACAAACTACTCAAGCTGTATGGGACGCCTGAGAACATTGATGTTTGGATTGGGGCCATCGCAGAACCTCTCCTGCCTAGTGCCCGAGTGGGGGAACTGCTTGCCTGCTTGCTGGGAAGGCAGTTCCAGGCCCTGCGAGATGGTGACAGGTAGGGAATCTTTGAGGAACGTAGTCTTTGCAAATTCCAAGATAGAAACTTACCTGATCTGTACCTCCCAGACTAATGTGCAGGTCAGAACTTTGTTATCTGCTTACCGTGGCGCTTCTCAGTTGTTTTGACACCGTTGTCAACTATAAGGGTCATAATAAGTTAGAAATGCATGCTCAAGTGTGTATTTAACTGTAAATTTGAAGTGGGCTTTCGTTTACAAAAAGCCACAGAATAATGAAGAAATGGAATAGAAAGGATTTATGGGTGAACACATGTGGAAGTGACATGGATCAGAAACGGACTGATTCAGTTATTCCTAGCAAATGAAAGATGCAATCACTGAATAATGCACCCCCACCCCACATGTTCAGTGCAAGTTAACAAGCACAGGGAGGGGGGGTAGCCAACCATATCAGGACCACAGCAGGTAGTACAAGGTTAAAGTTCAGCCTACATAAACAGAAAATAAATAGATCCTTACCCTCAATTAGCTTCCAATTTAAAATCTGCAGAAGGATGAAGGGTTCTTTGTTGTTTAGTCGTTTAGTCGTGTCCGACTCTTCGTGACCCCATGGACCAGAGCACGCCAGGCACTTCTGTCTTTCACTGCCTCCCGCAGTTTGGTCAGACTCATGCTGGTAGCTTCGAGAACACTATCCAACCATCTCATCCTCTGTCGTCCCCTTCTCCTTGTGCCCTCCATCTTTCCCAACATCAGGGTCTTTTCCAGGGAGTCTTCTCTCCTCATGAGGTGGCCAAAGTATTGGAGCCTCAGCTTCAGGATCTGTCCTTCCCGTGAGCACTCAGGGCTGATTTCCTTAAGAATGGAGAGGTTTGATCTTCTTGCAGTCCATGGGACTCTCAAGAGTCTCCTCCAGCACCATAATTCAAAAGCATCCATTCTTCAGTGATCAGCCTTCTTCACTGGTAAAACCATAGCTTTAACTATAGGGGCCTTTGTTGGCAAGGCTTTCTCCATAATCCAGCACATGTTTGCAATTTGGTCTCTGGTTCCTCTGCTTCTTCTAAATCCAGCTTGCACTTCTGGGAGTTCTCGGTCCACATACTGCTTGAGCCTGCCTTGTAGAATTTTAAGCATAACCTTGCTAGCGTGTGAAATGAGCACAACTGTGTGGTAGTTGGAGCATTCTTTGGCACTGCCCTTCTTTGGGATTGGGATGTAGACTGATCTTCTCCAATCCTCTGGCCACTGCTGAGTTTTCCAAACTTGTGGCATATTGTGAGAAGTACAAAACTAGACTGGATATTGTGAGAGGTATGGTATATATGCTTGGAGTTAATGGGTTTGTTGCTGGACTGCTTTGCTGCCTGATCCTGGCAGACCATTCCACAAATAGGGTTCACTGTGGCATTAACACCAGCTACACAATCCTCATGACTTGACTTCTCGATTTCAAACTTGGGGCAGGGTGCAGGGTGAGGTAAAAATTGCTTCCTTCCTATACATTTCCTTATCTTCTGGCTACATTCAATAGCATGAAGCAGTGCAGGAAATAAATGAATTCAGCCAGATAAGGTGTTCATGAACAGGCTTTTGCTCCCCCTTTTCTTTTGCAGGTTCTGGTGGGAGAATGAAGGAGTGTTCACCCCTCGCCAGAGGGAAGAGTTAGCAAAGGTGACTCTGTTCCAGATCCTCTGCGACAACACCCACCTCCACCACCTCCCTGCGGACGTCTTCTCAACCAGTCACTTCCCAAGTGACTTTGTGTCTTGCAAGAGCTCCCAGATTCCAAGGGTGGACCTGGCCGCATGGAGGGAAGATTCAGCAGGTAGAACCTGGAGTGCCCACAACTCAGAACACAGTTCACAGAGGGCTTGAAAGCCTGTTCTCAGCCACCTTCAGGCACTTAAGAAGGGAGTCTCAGGGATGGGAGGGGGGTGTATAACTTATATATATATATATATTGCATGCTTTCCTTTATGTAAACTGCTGTAGGATATTTTTTTTTACAGAAGAGTGGTACTCACCATGTTGTTACAGTAAGTGCCACACTTTTTAACATTTGAAAAAATAAAATGTGCCAGTACTGCATACACTTGAGTACCTCCAGAACAAAGTGCTGATAATAAATGTAAATTTATTACAGTTTGTACCTTTATAATAAAGCTAGTAATAAAGTTCTAATACATCTGCCACAGCCCAGACTTTTGTCACTGTGCCTGTGTAAACAGTAACTTGGGAAAGCTGGGTTTTGAAAAATTGTTAATTTCACACATAGGCAGTCATTATCTGTTGTGTTCTGTGTGTTCACAACCAACTATGCACACACTGCCCTGCCCTATCTAGAAGAAGTCCTCTCTTTGTTTCCCTTCTCCTCCCCTCCTGCAGTATTCACTCATTCCCATTTGGGAACATGGAACACTAAGAGGTCTGCATCTGGGAATTGGTTCCAGTGCAGTGCATCTTTCAAACTGGTGCATTTCCTAGGAAGTCCTTCTGCTGTGTTCTTCCTCTCTCTCCACAGACACACCTTGTGGGCCGGTCCCTCTGGTTGAAGGTGCCCACTACGTCCAGTGTAAAGCCTCGGTGTTCTTTGAGTGCTGGCCTGGCTACATTCGGGAGGGTCCTTCCTCTATAACCTGCAATGTTGAGGACAGAGAGTGGAGCACTGTGTTGCCTGTTTGCAGAGGTAAGACCTACCACAGGAAGAGCCTTGGGGACTCATGTATAAAGAATGTCATGCTTTTTTAATAATAATAATAATAATAATAATAATAATGGTGCCACCCCTCTTCAGCCCTAAACTGAGGCTTACTTAGTTTGTGTGTCAATCCAGCACTGCAACTGTGAAAAGGAGCTTCTCCACCCCCATCATTCAGCCCGGACACTGAGGTCCAGCTCCGAGGGCCTTCTGACAGTTCCCTCACTGTGAGAAGTGAGTTTACAGGGTTTACAGGGAACCAGGCAGAGGACCCTGTGGAACGCCCTCCCGTCACATGTCAAGGAAATCAAGAACTATCTGACTTTAGACAGATAGTATTTTTAATATTCTGTTGGGAGCTTCCCAATAAATAATAATAATAATAATAATAATAATAGTACAAAAGTCTATCTTTGATGAGAGTCCCAAATAAGGAGGCTCCAGAGATGCTAGCTCTATGTCAGGAAATCAGGAATTTTGGACATTTTCTTCCCGTGAGTTTCATTTTCTTCCTTCATGCTGCAGGGACTGCTCTAAGCATTTCCTTTCTTTCTCTTTGCCCCCCACCCCCTCTTGTCATTTTAGACATTGATGAATGTGAACATGGCCAAGAGAATCCCTGCCCCTCTCTGCAGATTTGCGTGAACATACCTGGGAGCTTCAAATGTGCCTGTCAGGGCTCCCTGATTCCGTCTCAGGATGGCACCACCTGCATTGGTAGGTTGGGTCGAGGGACCAGGCTGTGAGGAAGCCGGAAGGTCTAGCAAAGCCCTTGACCTCATTTCCTCGCTGGGAGAAGCCAATTGGAAGGGTTTGGGAGATGTCAGCATCCTTATTCAATCTGCGTTTCTCCCTTATCTCATTGCTTTGATTGCTCAGAGAAATCTTATACTTGGAACTAAAAGAGTCATTCCTGGAGTCTTCCTCCATCATTGGGGTGGTAGACTGTAGGCCTGCCCCCCCCCAGCTTCACTTTCTAGCCCTCAAGACTCTCCCCACACCACACGTCTCCCCTTGAACACTTATAATGCCTTTTGCTTGTCTGGATGAAGGATAGAAAGGTATGCATTAGTGTGCACAGAAACAGGGAATTTTTACTTTTGTTGCTCTGCCCACTTTTAAGGTTAGATGAGGCTGCTGGATCAGACCAATGTCCCACCTAGTCCAGCATCCTGTTCTCACAGTGGCCAACCAGATGCCTTTGGGAAACCCACAAGCGGGACCTGAGCCCAAGAGCCCTCTCCCCTCCTGCGGTTTCCAGAACTGGCATTCAGAAGCATTACTGCCTCCAACTGCGGAGGCCGAGCAGAGCCATCATGGCATCAGTATCCCTCTCTCTTCCATGAATTTGTCTAATCTTCTTTTAAATCCATCTAGGTTGGTGACTATCATTGCCTCCTGTGGGAAGAGGTTTAACTATGTGCTGCATGAATTAAGTACCGTATTTTTTGCTCTATAAGACGCACAAGACGCATCTAGTTTTTGGAGGAGGAAAACAAGAAAAAAATATTCTGAATCTTAGAAGCCAGAACAACAAGAGGGATCGCTGCGCAGTGAAAGCAGCGATGCCTCTTGCTGTTCTGGCTTCTGGGATAGCTACGAGGCCTGCATTCACTCCATAAGATGCACACACATTTCCCCTTACTTTTTAGGAGGGAAAAAGTGAGTCTTATAGAGCAGAAAATACGGTAGTTTTATCTTTCTCAAATCTTCCAACCTTCAGCCTCATTGGATGCCCCTGAGCTCTAGCGTTATGAGAGAAGACCTTTCTCTATCCACTCTCTTCATGGCATGCATAATTCTATAAACTTCCGTCATGTCGCCTCTTGCTCACCTTTCCTCTAAACTAAAAAGTCCCAAACGCCGCAACCTTTCCTCACAGGGGAGTCGCCCCGTCCCCTTGGTCATTTTGGTTGCCCTTTTCTGAACCTCTTTCAACTCTATAATATCCTTTTTGAGGTGAGGTGACCAGAACCGCCCAGTTTTCCAAAGGCAGTCGCACCACAGGTTTTGCAAGGCATGTGAGATCTGCCCTAAAAGTGCTGCTGTTTTCTGTCCTAGGGGGCCAAGGAGTCACTGTTACTTCATTGGCTGCAGCTGCAGCTATTGTGGCCGGAGCTATTTCTCTCATTGCCGTAGCTGTGGCACTGCATAGAAGGTATGGCTGAATTACACCTCTGGAAATGTTTTCTTCCTTTAAAAAAATGTATGTAGTCGCATTGGCCCACTTAGAGGGGAAAAGCCAAAGTGAAATAATAGATTCAGTAGGACCAACTTTGTAATACTTTGGTTGGCCCTGTGAAGGTTTCTTGTGGCCTTTGGGTTTCTTCTCTTTCCAATTCTCTGCTCACGTAACTTTTCCAAGTGACACAAATGGACCTCTGGCCTCTTCTGCTGTTTCAGGAAAGCACGAGGGGTTTGTGCTTCCCCTCTCCATGTTTTGGGGATGTACATTCTCCCTAGTTTAGATGAATCCTTGAAGGCCAGGGAAGAGGATGGGAAAGTCATTGAATATTGCTGCAGCTTGCATATACTTACATCCAATATTATTCTTGTTTTTCTCCAAGTCACATGCATGTCAGTAGAACTAAATTCCTAGTTACAGAAGTGTGTTTATATAGTGCAACCTGAGGTACAAAGCTATATGGAATGTCTGGTTGCCACCTGATTGCCACATCTCTCCTCCCCACACGCACTTTGGTCACTTTTACTTAAAGAGGAGGGTTTTAAAAATCCCTGCTGCATCTTATTGGCTGGGGAACCAGAGCACAATGTAATCCACATCATGTGTCCTCAGACATTACTGGAGAGACACATGGAGATCTAGGCTGACTTCTGTGTGGAACAAAACCTGTATGTTTCTCCTAATACGGAGGTGTTCACTCCTAAGAGCAAGAGTGGAGTAAAGCAACTGTGTTTAGAAATCCTTTGAATGGAACCTCAGAAAGTTTTATTGCCCTGATACAGTGATGGCTCTATTTCTAATACAATGGAGCTTTCTTTCTTTCTTTTTTCTATACCGCTTTTAATCCATAATACCATAATCACAATGGAAAACAACACCCCCTAAACACAGTTTAAAAGCCATTTTTTGCTATTATTTATTAAATTTCTAATCCTCCGAAAAGAGGCGGCTATGCATAAAACAAGTATTAAGACACTCATTTAAGTTGTGAAATGCAGAGTGGCTCACTATACAACTACAGCTATCCGGAGGTGGGGACTCCCATTGACATTTGCTGTTTATTTGGGGTTTTTTAAAAAACTATTTACAAAGCCACTCCCGAGCTACGGAGGGGGGGGGTGTTGCGGGCGCACGCCCCCATCCACACTCTCGCGGGGCTGGCGCCAGCCCCGCGGGACTCTGGGATCTCATCATTATTCATGTCTGGCAGCTCCAGCCAACGGGCTGCCACTGGGGGCGGGGCTAACGAAGGGCACATAAGGTCGGGGCAGCCCGGGCTCGCCCCTTTTCCCCCTTGCAGCAGCCGCGGTATTTACAAAGAGCTATTTACAAAGAGCTTTATCGCTGCAAAATGTTTTACAGTTCTGTACATTTTGGATTAACTGCAAGTGTTCTCTTCTGAAATGCAGGGTTGCACTGCAGCTATAGGCTTGTTTGCCCCGCCAAGTCAGTGGTGGGGCCCCTGTGGCTCTCCAAACATTGCCAAGCTGAAACTCCCATCACCCCTGACCATTAGTTATGCTGGATGGGGCTGCTGTGGGTTGGAAATCCAACACCTAGTGCCCTGCCTTAATAGGACAACTATGAAACATACTGTTATGATTCTTAGTTTCCCCTTTGAAACATTAAGGGCCAAGCCAAACAGCCTATACCACCTTCAGCCCAGAGTGTGTTGTCCCATGCCTTTGCCTCTGTGTGCATTAGTGACACCCACATCTATTATCTCTCCATGCCAGCACTTCCAGCAGGGGTGGGGAAGCTGTGGTCCAACTCCCAACAGCCCTAGCCAGCAGCCTGGAATGATGGGAGCTGGACTCCAGCAGCATCCCAAGGGCAACAGAGTCTGCACCTCTGACTCACAAGTGTGTCTTTCCTCCTTTGGTAAAGATCTCTTCTTCCACAACAACTTCCTGCAGACTGAGCTGCTCCAAATGTGTAGCTGATTCAAGAACTGAAGATGGCCCCTGTTCTCTAGTCTCCAGCCCCATGCTGCTTGAAGAGCCTGCCCTGCCCCTTCAGCACTCATGACCATTTGTTTTGCTGTTTGCTTCCTAGGTGTTTCAGGAGCAAGAAGGAGGTCTCCCTTTCTAGAGATAGTCGCTGTCCCCAGGATTGTTCCAAAGAAGGCCAGAATCCTGACTCAAGTTAGCTCTCCCCAAGTTCTGAATTAGTATTATTTTCAAGTTTAAAGATTTCTCAAATCATTCTTGTCAAATAATTTCTAGAGAATGCCTTTCCTCCCCATTTTTCTAGAGAGTTGCAAAGAAGATTTGACCACTGAAGATTGGTCAAACTTAGGGGCTTCGCTGGGTGCTCTGGGCACAGCCCATGGCGGGATTGGAGGAGGGGGAGGCAGGTAGCCCTCTCGGACTGGCCCTAGGGAAAAGCCTATACTGGCAACACTTGGTTAGAAAATACCTGCAAATAGATTAGGGTCATATCAGGAGGGGGGTTTTTATGAAAGGAAGCAATTTTCTCTCACCCAGACACGAGTTTGCTTATCCGCATCAGGGTTCCAATGCACGTGCAGTAGAGTATGTCCAGGAGGAAACTTGAAGCAGAAGAAATGGTTGGTGGGGAACTTGTGACATTCCCGATGCTGTTGGACTATGACTCCCATTGTCCCTGACAGTTGGCCATACTGGTTGGGGCTGATGGGGAGTTAAGTCCAATGTCATCTGGAGAACCACATGTCTCGTCTCAAGAGTTAAGCAGTGCCACATCTGTTGGTGCCATTCCTCTGTTCCAACACCTGAGACTACTTATTTTTACACTGTCAATGTTGCATTACAAATGTCCACTCGTCTACTTTGCCCCTTGGCTGCTTATCTAGCCACGAACAAGGCAAGACAGAAGTATCTGTGTTCATTTGCCAGCTGGACTCAACAGGCCTTTGAAGTCTCAGCCTGAGCTTGGCAGTTCCTATCCTTGGTTTATTACTGCTTAATCTATTCAAGGCCCAGGTGGCAAGTAATCCTGACACAAACCGATGGTGATCCAAGCTTAGTGTGTACTAGAGTTAATTCTGGGCACACCTCTTCCCTACAGGAAGCTAAAATCATCTCATACAAGTTTTAAGAATTAACCTTCGTAGGGGGTGGGGAGAGAAATGCAATGAACTCTGCTTTGAAAATGTGCTGTTTATTTTGCAGCTGGAATACATGCAGGCTTCAAAAGGAATAAAACAGCCCAAAGGCAATAAGAACCAGCCTCACTGTCAGTACTGCAGTCTATTTATTAAATAGAGATCAGTATATTTTATTAAAATATGAACATGTGAGTAAGGAGATAATAATACAGCCAAGAGAACAGCTCAGCAGTTGCCCCTTCCCGTAAGAGACAGGAAGCAAAACAGGTGCTTCCTCCAGCAGCTTGGAGAGAGTGGCTGTGAGTGGTGGATGAATTTAGAAAGCCAGGCTCTTCAATTAATTTATCATCATTGTTAGAATTGACTGGACTCCCACTTACAGCATCTGACCCATTAAGCGGAGACCAAGGAGAGCCACGAGCAGATAACTCTGAGCCAGGTGGAGCACAGGCTGAACTCAATAGAAGGCAGCTTCCAATGTCATTACCTGCTTCCAGTAGAGTAGTGTCTGTTTATTGTAAGGAATTTCCAGACAGCACTCCCAATTTGCTGCAGCAAAAACCAGGGAGATAGTATGGGAAGTCTTTCTATGATAGAAGAAATATGGCAACTAATAATTATGCTTATCAAGGTGTGGAGATGATGCGTGACTCAATGCTTCTCCTGGAGCAGAACTCTTTCTTGGGAGAGGCACTGAGAGCTTGCACACCATACTAAGCAAAACCATGACTTAACATGAACATGCTGGTGCTTAGGCTTTGCTCCTTCCTGGGGCAGTTTTTAGGTCACTGTTGCATGGAGCTAAGCCAGAGTCTGGCTTAGCATGGCATCAGATCCTGGGCTCTTCACCTAGCTACAATCAGAAGCCAAGTTTTGTCCTACAATTACAGATTGCAGTTAAGGGCATGAGACCTTACTCAGGATCCCACAAAGGCCAAACCTTGGCTTAATTGCTGTCGCATGTTGACCTAAGCAGTCTAGGGAGGAGCAAAGCAGGTGCGAGCTCTTCTCAGGGAGCCATCGCGTTCAAGTGGTCATGGTAAGTCAGTCTGTGGCTTGCCATAATGTGCAAAGCAGCATGTAGACTGTCATTAACCAGGAGCTGGCCTGGTTTGATCATTTGTAGAAGACTCCAGCTCCCATTAGCTCCAGCCAGCATGGCCAATGGGCAAGGATGATGGGAGCTGTAGTCCAGCAAATATCTGGAGGGTCGCAGCTTGCCATGTGGAGCATAGTATGGGAATCCTCTCTTACTGAATCAAGTGAAATTAGCTATAGGAAATAAGGGATAAACCCCTCCACAAACACAAAGGCAGACCAGGAAATGGGAAGCAGGCCATGGTACTGGGAATTCTGTCATTTCAAGATTTGCTGGATGTAAACCTGCTTGGCAGTTCACCATCCCTGCAGAGGTGAGGAGCAGAAGGCCCCACGGCTGAGAGCAAGGTCAAGAGGATCCCTTGAGAAGCTGTCCTTTCACTTATGGCAAGCCTTGTCTAAAGCAGGAAGAGGCAAGTGTTGTTGCAACGTTTTCTCCCGTAAGCATGAATTCCAATAATATTTTCTCCCAGATACATCTTTGGGGAGAATAGCTTTTTAAGTTACATATATATATTTATATTTATATTTATATATTTACTATAATCCTTAGCATGCAAGTGCTACTACATGTGATCAAGATGAAACCAAGCCCTGGGCCACTGAGCAGCCAAGTGGCAGGGAACCCACAATTCCCCTCCAGCCATCGAGGTCTAGTAAGACAGCCACTTACCTGTAATACTAAGGAGATACTGCACTCAACAGGAAAGAAAAGAAAGAAAAGGCATTTACTTCAATGATACCAAAAAGTGCTCTCCATTGCACACAATCCCAAAAGGCAGGTGATTCTTTCCTATGAAAGCAGATATGGTGCTCCTCCTCCAGGGAGTGGAATTGGGATTGCCAGTCACAAGATCACACAAAGCCAGGCGTACAGTGCAGGCATCAAGGGGCAACCAGCCGCACTGGGGTGTTCAAGACGTTTTCGCACCAGCCAGTAGTTTCTGCCTAATGGAACCAGAGGTGATGATGCAACCACTCACTATGGCCAAGATGATTTAAATGTACTTCATTGTATTTATAGTGTGAGGCTCTGGCCATGGATGCTGTCAGGGCTTCACGGATACCAGGGTTCACCGTTGAAGCCCCGTTCTCAGTGCCAGAGCTCATCTGTGGAATATAGCATAGTGAGTGCTTTCCAGCATGGGCAGAGCGCCTCCCCTTCACTACTGAGCAGCCACCAACCAGCCTCCCATTTGCCTGGGAATAGGAGGAAATGGCTCTCAGGGCAGAGGATGCTGCTTCCAGCTAGAGCACAACCCTAGCCGCTCCCATTTTAGAAATCAGGCACAGCATCCAAAAGATAAGCCTCTTTCTCCCCTTCCCATTAAAAAAAATTCGTATCAAAAGCTAAGTGAGGAAGACTTTTCACTTCTGTCAACATTCAACAGGTCTTCCAACTCTGATTTACAAATTCAGAATCAAGTGTGGTTCTTTTTTTTTACAGTACCAAAACAATTCAGGGGCCAAGATTTATTTGTATCACTTGAATCCGAATATTATCCCCATCCTCCCCCCCTTAAAAAAATATAAATGCAGGGTGTACACGAGGGGTGGTGAACATGGTGTCCCCCAGTCTGTTGTTAGACTCCAACTCCCATCATCCTTCACCATAGGCTGTTTCCTAGGGATGATGAGAGGTGCAGCCCAAAACCTTTGGAGGGTGCTAGGTTGGGGAAGGCTGAGCTGTACAAACCCCAAAATTGTGCCAGAATATTCAAGATGTGAAGTCCTTCTTAAGCTCCAACGTGAATGAAGCAAAAGAGAGAATGTTTCATACAAGAGTCTATAATACTGTCAAGGCAGACGCAAGCACCAAATGGGAAGCTGGAGCGGAGCTGAAATGTGTTGCACAAAATACCACAAGAGTGTCGTTTGGACTGCAACAAAGCACAGTGAAGGAGCCTGTGGGGAGGATGGTGTCAGCTGAGGACAGCTGCTCCCTAGAAAACCAATGTGGCAGCAGCCAACTCTCTGGCCTGTAGAGTGGGAGCAAAAGCATCTGCGGTCTCGTGCAGCTGACCTCAATGTGGTTGTGGGCCACTGCCTGTTATGCAATTTCCCCACTTTTACATCACAAGCGAGGCTCCAGCCAGAGTTTTGGCCTAGAACAGATGCCTGCCTACACAGAGCAAGGTATCGGATCTGTCACACAACCAAAAGGCAAACCCTGAGCTATAAATAGAAATCAGCCCCCGGCTGACTCTTGCAGGCTCCTCAGGAGGAGAGCTGCCTGGGAAACAACTGGAAGAACACACACGTAGAGGCCATCAAACAAGGCCACCGTACAGCACTGACACCCCCGTGCCCAGTCGCGGTTGGAGTTGGCAGCTGCGTGGAAGAGTCCGAATCTCTCTCTCTTTCTGTTGTGCGGGAATGCCCAGCTACATTTGCATTGCAGAGCAGCAAGCAGATAATGAGCCAAGGGCCAGCCATGGCCTCAGAACCTGCAGAAGCAGATCTTTGAAGAAGACTTGATATATAATGGCTGTGGAATGCATAGAGACAGGGGAGGGGAGGAGTCCAGAGACAACTTCATTCAGTTGAGCCACAGAAGGGCTGGTCCCTTGGCCACTCCGCATCAGGCTAAGCACTGTCAGGAAGCTCTGCAAATAATGCAACGGGGAAATCTGTGCTTATTCTTCAGTTTACATCCGGCAGCTTCAGTTTATATCCTGCCAGCACCAGGAGATGTGCTGGGTCAAGCCCTCTAACTGCCTGGCAGAGTAGTGGTAAGGTGATGCCCTTCCAGAGTGCCAGTCCTCAGTTACATCTCACTGGGAAAGAACCCCAGCTTAGCTATGGACATTTCCTTTCTGAGACGCATGATTTCCCAGTACATCAATTCCACTGCAAGGGGGGAGAGGAAGAGAGAGAGAGAGAGGTGAGTGAAGCACCAGAGAGAGCCATAAAGTAGAAGACAAGTACGCATGTTTGCTCTACACCGGGGTGGAGAACCTGTGGCCCTCCAGATGTTGTTGGATGACAACTTCCATCACCCCGAACCACTGACTGTGCTGGCTAGGGCTATTGGGAGGTGGTATCCAATAGATTCTACATCCTCCTTTTGGAAAAGCCAACCCATCTAGTGTCTAGGAGAGCAACACAGCAGGCTGATGTTCAGCTTGTCTTTTTTTAAAAAATACATTGATTAAATGTGCATACCACCCATCATCCGTTAACATTAGAAGCAGCACCTTCTGATTGTCACTAATGAATGTCACTAATGTAGCTAATGAAGGCTAAGGATTGGCAAAGCTACTTCCCTTGTGGGTTAGAGGCATAGTGTTAGCATACTCTTTTTAAGCAATCCTTTGACATTTCTGACACCGCATCTTTCCCCATTCACTGATCTGGCAAGTATCTGTGGACCAGAGCTTGGTTTCAAAGGGGCCAAATTCTACCAGGATCAAAGCTGGACTTGCAGCCATCCTAACTTCAGCTTCACCTTGCTCATCTCGTTTTATCTGGTTTCCCTGCCCCTTGCTTTGCATTCTGCCTCACACTTCATTTGGCTAGTGTGGAAATGTCATTCATCTTCAGCCTGCCTTGGGTAAAAATGACATGGGGCGGAGAAGAATCGATCCCTCCCTCTTGGGAGCTCCTTGCCAAGTCTCTGAATGAAAAGCTGAGCTCTGAGCCAGCAGTTCCTCCATGCTAGGAAGTGGTTGCACAGTCTTAGGAGCTAGCCAGTAAGCAACAAGCCAAGACTTCACATCCAAAATGGGAAAGGCCAACACATCACTTACCATCCTGCCTCACCAGTCCCTGCTGGATGTAACGGATATAGGTGAAGAAGTTGCATACTGCTGTAATCTGGAAAAATAAAGAGGGAGGGAATACTGGTTAGAATGTTGGACTAGGACCAGGGAGACCGGGGTTCAAATCCACACTCAGCCATGAGGCTCACTGGATGATTTTGGGCCAGGCACTGCCTCTTAAGCCACCTACCCAAGATTGTTGTGAGGATAAAATGAAAAGGGGGAACGGACCATGTATACCACCGTGGGCTTCATGGAGGA